ATCCGCTCTAAAGAAATGTCATTTACTGATAATTCCCAGAGGGGCAGAACTGAAAGAGGCCTCAGAGGTTACCTAGATCTGGCCCAGAGAAGGAAGAGATTTTTCGCATTGTCACTGAGGCTGGAGATGGCTGGGTGGGAACCCAGGGTTCTTGCAAGTGGCACCCAGAGTCACACCAGGAAGGAGCACAGTGGTGAAGGGCACTGACCGTGGAATCAGACACTGGGTTCAGACCTTGTCCTGCCCTTTCCAGCCATGTGCCTCAGGCAAGCCACTTTACCTCCCTGAATTTCGTTTTCATTAGCCAGTGAGTGCTGTTAGTCATCCCCACGTCACAAAGCTGTCAGTGAGCTTATTAAAACTGGCTTACTGATCACTCGCTCTGAGCCAGGCATGGGCTAGGTGCTGGAAGGCAGAGTGGTGTAAAGACAGCTAGGTCCTTGTCCTTGTGGAGCTTAGATTCTGCTGGGTAGAGACCAACAATAGAAAGAGTTTCAGAGAAGAGCTCTCAGGAAAATGGAGCAAGGGAATGGGGTAGGGCTGGACTGGGGAGGGTGGTGCTGACATTAGGCATTGTGGTCTGGGAAAGCCTGTCTGAGGGGCAACATTTGCACCACAACCCAGGAGATGAGGAGCCATTCTGGAAGCTCTGGGCAAAGCAGCCTCCAGGAAGCCAGGAAGAGGAACAGCAGATGCAAAGGCCCCGTGACAGGAGCGTGCTTGGTGTGCTAGAGGGGAGGGGCAAGGAAGGGAGGTGGGGTTGGTCCACAGGGGCCAGGCTGTGTGCCCTGTTCAGGTCCCAGTGAAGAGTTTACATGTTCTTCTATGTGGGTTGGGGATCCCTAGGAGGTTTCTAGCAGGGAAGGGACACAATTAATTTATATATTCTTTATTTATTTATTTTGGGGACAGAGTCTCACTCTGTTGCCCAGGCTGGAGTGCAGTAGCATGATCTCTGCTCACTGCAACCTCTGTCTCCTGGGTTCAGGTGATTCTCCTGTCTCAGCCTCCCAAGTAGGTGGGACTACAAGCATATGCCACCATGCCCAGCTAATTTTCGTATTTTTTTAGTGAGACGGGGTGTCACTGTGTTGGCCAGGCTGGTCTCGAACTCCTGACCTCAGGTGATCCACCAGCCTCGGCCTCCCTAAGTGGTAGGATTACAGACATGAGCCACAGTGCCTGGCAAATTCATATTTTCAAAGGATTCCTCTGGCTGTGGTGTGGAGGAGAGGTGGGGGGAGGAACGTGGCAAAGGGAGGGGGCTGTTGAGTTGTGCAGGCTGGAGGGGTCGGTGGCCCAGCAGGACAGTGAGGACGTCCGATGAGCAGGGTGAGATGATGTCATCAACTCCTCCACCTGACCTGGTGCTGGCCCCACGAATGGAGCTGTGCTTGAGCCCGGATGAAGTTTCTAATTCTTGAGAGCAGCGTCCTGGGGGCTTGGGTCATGGGAGTGGGTGTGTGCTGCGGAGGACCTGGCCTGGGTGGTGTGTCTCTCTTCTCCTTCTCCTGTCTCTCTCTCCGTCTCATTTTCTCTCTCCCCAGCCCCCCTTTCTCTGAGAACTGCTGCTGCTATTACTCCCAAAAGACTTTACATAATTCTGGCCCGGCTCCCTCCTCATGATGTCATGTGCTGAGTGGTGTCTAGGTCACTCCATCGCATGCTACGGTCACGGAGAGAACAGACTTCTGGCTCCCCTGGCGTGGCGGCCGGGTGCAGACCCTCCCCATGCTGGGGTGGGGGTGGCTAGGCTTCTGGTGTGTGGAGGTGCAACCCCTGCCCCAGGGCCTTTGGACAGCTCAGGTAAAGGCCTGGGCTTCCTGCAATGGCCCTGGCTGGTGAGGGGTGGGGGTTGTGCTGGGAGGCCTGTCCCTCCAGAGCTGGGGGCCTCTCCCCTGGAGCCCAGGCCCCAGGAGAAAGAGGCAGGCAGTCCTGAGGTCAGCCCCTGTTACTGGGTTGCTGCTCTGAACCTGTTTCCTATACTGTAAAATGGGGACAAAGATACCCAATCTTATGGGGATGGGTGGCTTCAGTGGGCTCTAAGGGGAGCATAGCAGGAGCGGTTCTGAGGACAGAGGTCCAGGCGTGTGCAGGGAGGGGCTGAGAGGGAGTCTTCCCCTTGAGCCTACGTGGGGTTTTCTGGACCCCAACTCAGTGGCTTCACCTACTTCATTCATCTCCCACCCCTGCCCCTCTGCTAGACCCCACTTCCTAATCCCAAGGAGAAGGAGAATAGGGTCGAGCCGCTCCCCCTTGCACAGGTAGGGAAACTGAGTCTCAGAGTAGGGTGTGGCTTGCTCAAGGTCACACAGCCTAGGATGGCAATGCCAGAATGAAACTAGACTGGTGAGCCCCAGCCCCAGGCATTTTCTGGTGTGCTTCTCAGTGTGGGATGCCTGAAGCCCTGAAGGATGTTTGGAAGTTCAGGTCACAGCACAAGAGCTAGGGAGGGAGGCTCTGCTCCTCCACCCTTGCAGACACATCCCATTTCCTTCCACTGTATTTTTGTTTTTCTTTTCTTTTGGGAAAACAGTTTGGTTTTGCGGTTTGTAGGAAACTTAAATAACAGTTACTGAGTTTTCCCTCCCTAACCTCTGAGAACAGAGTGCTAAGCTCTTCACAGCATCATTTTGTATAATCCTCACGATAGCTATCGAAGATTATACCCCCATTTTACAGGAGAAGAAACTGAGGCCCAAGGTCATATGGTTGGGGCCAGGGATTCCTATCAAGATTTGTGCACTCCAAAGCTCTCACCTTTGCCCCTCATCAGAAACACCTGAAATTGTCCTGACACACCCATAACTCCTCACTCCCTGTGGGGCCTGAGCTGTGCAAAGATATGGAAGAAGCAAGTTTCAGAGCTGCTGTGATGTTTGGCCCCAGGGAGGGAGCTCACAGAGGAAATGACAGGGAGTTTGACTTAAGGGGAACAGGGAGGATCAAGGGCTTGCACCCACCACCCACCGCCATCTCAGCGTTGGTTAATATCCCCAACTCAGTGTTTTCTAGGGCTGGGGGGAGGTGGGGAGAAGAATGTGCATCCCCTTGTTTCTAGAGTTACTAAATTCTTATTAGATCTTTAAATTTTATGTAAATTCTTCTTTTTTTCCCTCTTGGAAGGTGGGTATCATATTTTAATTAGTAGTGGTGTCAAAGGAGGGCTAGATTAATTATTGGAAATCTCAAGTTCCAGATGGTTTTAATTTTCACAGCAGGGCACCAGGGTCTATATTTGTAAATTTTTTTATTAAAATCATACCTAGTGCATTTTAAGGGCACTGAGGTATACTCTTTGTGGCTCCAAGGTACTGTACTCAGGAATTTTTGTTATGGAGAAGCAAGTCCCTTGTCACTGAAATTAAACTTTTGTGGGCAAGGAAGGGGCAGGGGCTACTAGGAAACAAGGGGTCAGGGAAAAGAGTGCACGAATTTCGAGGGGGGCAGTCACAGACAAAGAAAGCAGCTGGTGTTGGGGAGTCAGGCACAGGGGGTTTAAGACCAGAGAGGAAAGAGAGCTCAGAGAGGGCATGTGGCCTACCCAGAGTCACACAGCAGCCTCCTACTGGGGGCAAAAATGTGGGCTGGCAGAGGGAGAGGAAAAGATTTGGACACAGCATGCCTAATGAAGGGACAGTCATACTCTTTCGCTGCTTGGTGTCCTTGTTTAGGCAGGGCTTTGGGGGATCAGCTGCGGACCCCTCATCCTGAGGGAGGCTCTGTGGAGCATAGATGGTGTAGCATGGGGTCTCCCACCCTGGACCAGGGGAGATTGGGGCTTGAGTGGGATTTCTGGCCTCCTGGGAGTTAGTTACCCTTCAGCTTTGGTGGCCTCCATGGAGGGCAGTGGAATATCCTGCATACCTTTTCCCAGAGAGCTCACACCTCACTCCCTGTGCCTTTCCTGCTATAAGCGGCCAGGGTAAAGGTGCCAGGGGGCACTAGTAGGGGCTCCAGATGTTTGCTCTGCAGGAAGGGGCCACAAACCCAACTTTTGGAGGAAATAGCTGGACATTCCGAAAGGCAGGAGAGGTGTGCATGCATATGCCTGCATGTGGGTCTGTCCCCTTGGTCCCCTCAGCTGTTTCTCTGTGTTTTCTTTTTTTTTTTTTTTTTGAGATAGAGTCTCACTCTGTTGCCCAAGCTGGAGTGCAGTGGCACAATCTCAGCTCAGCTCACTGCAACCTCTGCTTCCTGGGTTCAAGTGATTCTCCTGCCTCAACCTCCAAGTAGCTGGGACTACCACCACGTGCACCACCATGCCCGGCTAATTTTTGTACTTTTAGTGGAGACGGGGTTTCACTGTGTTGGCCAGGCTGGTCTCGAACTCCTGACCTCAGGTGATCCTCCTGGCTTGGCCTCCCAAAGTGCTGGGATTACAGATGTGAGCCACCGTGCCTGGCCCTCTGTGGTTATTTGTGTGGTGTCTGGGGAATAGGATTATTGGTAAGGCTGGCTGTCCTGATTTGGGGAGTGGCGTTATTTTTCTGACTGTCTTGCCTTGGGTTTGGGAGAGGGGATTATTTGGATGTCCGTCTCTCCCTTTGGGAGAATGGTCGTTTTGTATGGTTGTCTGTCCTGCTTTGGGAAATGGTTTTTTTGCATGGCTCTTTGTCCTGTTTTGGGGAGTTGAGGGGCTACAGAAGATGGGTGATGATGGCGAGAAAGGCGCACTGGTGTTTAGCCACAAGGGGCAGAAATCCCTTCTGGCTGGAGCCATCCAGATCCCAAGTGGAGCCAAGAGAGGCTGGAGGGAAGGGAACAGGTGATAGGTGGCTTCTATCTCCCTGCCTGAGGGGCAGGGCACTGCTACTTCTCTGATTTTTCTGTGGTTATTTGTATGGCATCTGTCCTGTGGGACTTGTTAGGCCTCCCCATGCCGATTTTGGGGGAGTGAGGGACCAAAGATAGGACCAGGGACCATGTCACTGAGGCTTTAGACCAAGCCATTGCCCCTGGTAATAAAATGTGTCTTGTTTTCCTTCTGCCTTTTGAAGCCCAGCTCCTAGTGGAGACAGACACCTTCGGTAGTCAAGTCCGGATCAAGGGCAAGGAAACGGAATTCTACCTGTGCATGAACCGCAAAGGCAAGCTTGTGGGGAAGGTGAGTGACGGCCTGGGACTCCCGGGAACTTAGGGTTCCCCTCTAGCAACTCTGGGAGCTGCAACAATGTGTCCAGAGCATTGTCAGCCCCAAATGGAAACTGTAATCTCCTCCTTTCATCCCACCCCATCCCCCAGTCCTCCTCGGCACTCGAGCTCCCAGGCTGAGGAATTCAAGGCTATAACTTATGGTGCACACAGGTCTCTGGTCTCTCCTGCTGGGTGTGGAGCTCTGGCTTTCTTGGACATGGGAGAAACCTTGAGGGGCTCTGGGGCACCCCGGCTATATGTTCCTGAAGTCTGGGAACAAGGAACTGGCAAGCCAAGGACTGTGGCTGCAGTGATCATTTTAACAATTGCCAGAGGCTGACAGTGCCAATCATCCTGTAATAGTGGGCTCTGGAACCCGGCTGCCTCGTCAGTGCTGGGCTTCGTCGTTCTAACATTTCAGGAAGATTTTATTACTTTGAAACTGGCAAGAGAGCTGCATGTAACAAATTAGGGTGGGGGCAGGTGGGAGGGACCCTCAGGTGGGGGGACTTCGGGAGGGGGGAACCCAGGTGCAGGGGGACCTGAGTCTCCAATGATGCTGCTCCTCAGCACCTCTGTTTGTTTCCTGGGTGCACCTGTTTGCAAAAGTCACGAACTGGCTTCCTTTGGTGTTTGAATGGAAGATGTTATCTACAGGAGCTCTGTGGTGGGATCAGGCTCTCTGTCCCTTCTCTCTGCAGGGACTGACTCACTCCCATATCCAGCTTGTATGACCAGGGTTGAGGGGGTTCTGCCTGGACAAGTGGAGGGGGGTGGAGGGTAGGCCCAGATTCTAAGGGGCATCGGCTTCTGCTTGGGGGCAATGCCCTGGCTGATTATTTGTGGTTCATTACATCTTGCTGGGGGTGGGGGAGATGACTTCAGTCTTGCTGAAGCCATGGTTTTGATTTTTTGAATCCCCTGGCTTATCCCTCCCTCCCGCCCCCCCGCCCCACACCCAAGAGGCTGGGGAGGGTGTAACAGGCCAGGGATCGTAGCCAGGGCATTGTCGCATTATTTTGTTGATAATTACAGTCACAATAGCCTCCGCTAATTGAGCACCGACTTTCTGCCTGGCACTGAACTGAAAATGAATCCCAGGAGGCTGCCACCGCTACCATCCCCATTCCACAGATGAGGAAGCCGAGGTTCGGCCACGCCCGGGCACTTGTCCCAGGTCCCACACTAGAGCTCCGCGGGATTCAAAGCCGGGTTTGGAAGGAAAAGATTCCAGCCGCACTGCCCACACCAACTGAGGCTTCTCAAAGAGCAACATAATAGTAATCCGCAGAGCGCGCCTCCGGGATGCCGAGGAGTGGTTTTAATTAGTGATTCACTTTCCGCCGTTGCGAGGCCGGCCGGCCGGCGAGGGGAGTCGGGGCCGGGACCGCGGACCGGGGCGCGGGCGCCGGGTCCCCCTGGCCTGGCGGGTCCCCCTGGCCTGGCCGGCCGTTTCCTGTGGCGGCGCGGCCCAGCCCCGCGTCAGGCGCTTTGTTCTCCTGCCCGCCTGGGCCGCCTCCCAGGCCCAACCTGCTTTGAGTTTTCGGCTCGTTTTTCTTTTTCTCCCCCAGGAGGGGCCGGCGGCACCCGCTAGTGCCCGTGCCCACGCCGCGGCCCGCCCTCGCCGTCTGCGCGCGCGGTTCCCGGCATCCTGACTCCAGGAGGGCCGCGCGGGGGTCAAAAGAGCAGCCCCGTCCCCTCGGGCCGCCCCCCCACCCCGCCGCCGGCCGCCTCCCGCCGCCTCCCGCCCTCGGGCTGGCCGCTGAGTCACCGCTTCCACAGGAGCCGGCTCCGATTTCCTGCCCCCTCGCCCTCTCTCCCGTCATTAATATTGGTGACGGTTCAGCTGGCGCGGCGCGCCCTGGCGCAGCGGAGGGAGGCCCGGCCCCGGCCCCCGGCGCCTCCCCTGCTCCCGTCCGGGCCTCCACGCCCGCCCTCAGCCCCTGCCAGCCTCCTGTCTTCTGCCCCTCCCCCTCGGAGGGGGACTCGAGGGCGCCCCCAGATCCACCTGTCTAGGCTTGGCCTCGGCCTCGCCCAGCGCCCCTTCCTCTCTGGCCCCCGAGGCAGGAATCTGGCTCCTAGGCTGCTGCCCTCGCCACAGTCTCCCTGCCCAGCCGGGCCTCGGGTCCTGGGAGTCCCCTCCTTTCCTAACCCTGCCACCGCCTCTGTTCTGCTCCCCACCTTCCCGGAAGTCGTTGCCCCAGCCGCCTGGTGTGTGGCTTCTGCACCTCCAGGCCTTTCCCCACTGCCCACCTTCGGCTTTCTATAGCACATACAGCACTGGAGGGCAGCACATGGACTGCCCCCACCCCCACCCAACTCCAGACCCACCCATGGGTCCTCCCACCTTGCTATGGGACACTGAAGGCCCTGGGGAGCCTCCCCGGGCACATGCATTCCTTATGCCCCAGATGCATGGCACTGAGCACCACTGTTTCCTGGGTAGGGCCTTTGGGCACTGTCCATGCTGTGCCCTCTGCCAGAACTGCCCTTCCCTCTGTCCACCTGAGTCCTAGCTCATTATTCCCGGACGCCTCAGTCAGCCCACCCACCCTGGAGCCCCGCAGCCCCTCGCAGAGCCCTCTGTTACCTGTCTGCTGACCTGGATCGGTGCTGTCTGTCTTTGTGCCTGCATCCCCTGTCACACTGGGAGCTCCCTGAGGGCCAATTCTGCATCCATTCATTTGAGTTCTGCAGACCTGGCCAAAGGGCTGCCGGGGCACCAAAGAGAGAAACATGGTTCCTGCTGTCTGTGGATTGACTCTTAAGCCACAGCCGGAATTGTCCAAATCAAGCCAAGGGAGTCAACGCTCCCTGGACTTGCCAAGCCTCGTCGTCCTCATCTGTAAAATGGGAATGATAATCTGAGCACTTAGTAGGCAAGTAGGCACTTGCTAAGTGTTAGTCCCTTCCCCCTTTGAAGCCAGGTTACAAGTCAGTTCTTCACCGGTGGGAGTGCCTGGTCTCAGCTCCAGTGCCGCCTCCTTTGGAGTGGCTCAATGGGACAGCTTTGAACCATCTGTGTGCCAAGCCTGCATATCCCTGGCCGCAGCAAGGGCACCCACATCGCGCCCTCAGCAGAGCTTTCCAGAGGCTGCAGGCCCTTGCTGGAAGTTACTCTTTCTGCCGAATTGTACCAATCAGATGCCAAAGCTCTGTCCCCAGCTCCTGCATGCTGAGGTGGCCCCCCTTCTCCTTGCTACCTCTCTGGAACCTATGTCACCAGGCCCAGGAGGTGGTGCTTCCTTTCATTTTGTAATCAGTTGTTGAGTATCTAGCATGATGTGCTGGGCACCACCCAGGTTGTAGTTTTCCTATCTGCTCCCACCTGTTTCAATCACTGAGTCCTTTTTGGGGCAACAGAGTCACAGACCTTTTCAGGGCAGGGGAGCGTTCTGCCCACCAGCACATCTTTGTTAAGATGGCTTTGGTTGCAAGTGGCTGAAACTCAACCTAAAATGCCTTAAGCAAAAAAGAGAATGTGGGGCTTATATAGAAAAAAACCCCAAAAACTAAAAAAAACACAGTCCAGGGGGTGGTTCTAGTTTCGAGTAAGACTGGATCTTAGAGGGCAGATGATGTCAACAGGATTCCATCTTCAGATCAAATAGAAGGACTAGGGCTCCAGTTCAGGAAGCAAGAGGTTGGAGGTGGTGTTAGGGGAGAGATCAAATTCTGCTAAATCATCAGGGTTCTGGGATGGGATATTCACTTACTCTTTATATACTGATGCTGCTGCCTTGCCTGAACCAATCGAGTCAGAGTTTCTGGGGGTGGGACCCAAGCACAGGTGTTTCTGGAATCTCTGTGTGTGGTGAGCAGGGTCATAGCGGTAGCCAGGGGCAGAGGCAAGTGTCAAGCCCAAGTGTAGCCTGCTGTTAGCTTCTTACCCATTTTTGCCTGGGGTCATGGAGGGGAACTTCTGATCATCATAGCCCCAGGGCTGGTTCCCAAGATTCATGAATTTCAGCCAAAAGCCCAGCTCTTCCACCCTCTTAAGTAAACCCAGACGTGTATTGAGCCTGCGTGTCTGGCATGGGTAGCTCCTTGTATATCCAAAACCTTGCTTTGTGCCGATGGTGGCTATGTGGGCCTGAGGGAGGCGAGATGTTTTGACGGGCAGCACCTGCTCCTTCTCACCCTTTCCCCTTTCCGACCTCTCTGGAACTGGGCAGAGGAGAAGTGAGCTGCAGTGTTTGGTTGAGACCAGGCTAGGGCACGTTCAAATCCCAGCTCTGCCACTTACAGACTCCATGACCCTGGACAAGCCTGTTTGCTTCTGAGCTCTGCTTTCTTCTACCAAGCAGAGTCAAAGGAGAGGATGAAATTAAATGGAAGTAGCAATGTCTGGCCTATAGTTGGCAATCAATAAATGGTTAATGAATGAGTGGGGAGACCAAGTGGGCTAGGCAATTTCTAGGGCTCATCTTGCTCTGTCTCCCTAATCAGTGTATCCCAGGAGGGACCTCTCATAGCTTAGGACTGTCTCTGGGATATTTATAACAGATCCAGGAGGGAGAGTCAGTGTTCTTCAGGAGGAAACCCCTTTCATGTGTCATCCCACCATTTCCATCCTAATGAAAATGTGTTCAACCCCAAGTACTCGGGGCATCCCTGTCTTGAGCTGAGGCCTGTGCTCAGCAACGAGAGAACTGAGAAGCAGCTTGACCTCATCAGGCACTTGGGCTAATGCGGAAGCAGGCAGATGTGGAATTTCTCTGTTGGGTTGTGGGGAGGAGGAATGGGGTTCAGAAGATGGAGTATGTGAGCCCAATAAGGCTTGACACCCTTGAAGGAGGAAGAGGAATTGCCCAGGGAGATAAAGGGTAGTCCTGGAAGGCTTCCCGGAGGAGGCAGTTGTTGAGCTGAGCCTGGAGGGTTGAAAGCCATTTTCCAGGCAGTGGCAGGCATTCTAGGATTGGGGAGCATCATGGTGTAGCCTTTGTTCTGTTTGCTCTGACTGTTTGGTTGAGACCAGGCAAAGAATCTGGATTCAGTTTGGACAGACAGCTTCCAGAATTTTCCATGGACCTAGAGCCCAGGGACCACTCCCCTCCACCTGCCTTGCACACTTGCCCAGGCTTTCCTCACAGGAGACCTTCACTGCTCACGCCACCCATACTGTCCTCTGGGTCCCATGTATGTGTCCCAGGTCTGCCCCTGCCTGTTCTGCAGCCTCCTCGAAAGATCTCATCTTCCAGAGAGTGTTTTCTTACCCTGCCTGTCCCTTTCTGCGAAGTTCAGCCCTTGGTCTGCAGAACCCAAGCTTGCCCTCTGCTCAAAGGTGAGTCTTCCTGGAAGCCTTAGCCTGTTTTCCACTTCAAACAAAAGGCTGGAACTCACACCTCAGTCTCCACACACAGCCAGACCGCTGGGCTTCCAGCTTGGCCGGGCATCCGTCTGTAACGAGGAGTGGGCCCAGCCTAAATTTGGAGATGTTAGTTGGAAACTCGAGTGCTGCTAATTCAGGCCTTCCAACTTTGTGTGTTTCCCACTTTTCCCCATCGAGCAATTCGGCTGTCTCAGAGAGGAGACTGAAGCCCTGCCTCCCCACACCCTGTGTCCAGATCAGATCCAAGGAGGCACGCCAGCCCTGTCGGGAACAGCTGCCCTTCAGGAATAATCTAGCAGGCTCCTACTGAGTGTCAGATTCATTTATAAGCATCACTCCCACAGTGTCTCTATGATGCAGAAGTCATTGTTCCCATCAGGTAGATGAGGAATTTGAGGTTTACAGAGTGGGACTGACTGGCCTGAGGTTACACGAGGAACCGTTAGAGGTCATTCAGTTTCTGACTCCAAATCTAGTGCTCTTTGCCCAGCATACCCAGACTCCCAAGAGAGTTCACACATCGGCCCAGGAGCCTGTGATCCTACAACCGATGGCAGAGTTTGGAGTTCAGCCATGTGAAATCTCTTATTTTTAGTGGCCCCCACCTTACTTCATACTAAGTGTGAAAATGCACCACATCCCACATGACATGTAATTTTTATTTGACTAGATCGAAGTGGAGTTGAGTTACAGCTGAGTAGCTGATTTAATGTCAGGTTTTGTGCAAGTCCATCAGGATTCATTTCTATTGTAAGCGATAGATCGCAGTATCACCTGCTTTAAAGGAAATGAGCCATTATTGGCCCACATAACCATGAAGTCACTTGAGCTTCAGATGTGACTGGACCTAGAGCCCAAATAATGTGACCAGGATGTAGTTTCTCTCCTTCTCTCCCCCTTGGCTTTGCTTCATCTGTGCTGGCTTCACTGTCAGACAGGATCTCCCCTCATGGCGATAAAGTGGCTGCCTCTGCTTCAGCCTTACAAACTCATCCAGTTTAAATCCACCTATGTTTGGGGTTGTCTAGAAAATGTCTCAAGGAACACTCTTGATTGGATGGCTTGGGTCACATGCTCACCTGTGAGCCAGTCACTGAAGCCAAAGGGAAAAAAGTGTCTAGATGTTGTGCTCTGGTAGGGATGAGGTGGGGCTCCTGGGCTATGAGGGTGGAGAGTGGGGAAGGAATAGATTTCTGAATGACAGTGGGAGTCTTACCTAACTGGAGGGTGGGAAAAGATGCAGGGGCCAGTTACAAAAGTTTACTCTACAGATCCAGGAAGTGAAGACTCTCTCTCTTGTGCTGCCCCATGACCCTTGTACCTGCTGTCCCCTTTCTCTCCTCCTGACAAAGACTCTTTGCTTGGCCAAACTAGAGTCAGGTTCCTGATCCTTCTCTTAGGCCTATCTGTGCACTTCTTTGTAAAATCCAGTTTTAGCAAGAGCCTCTCAAAGTCAGTTTAGCAAGAACCCCCACTCTCAATATCTGATCAGGGTCCTCATCCTTCTCCATCTCCCAGGTAATGTCTGATCTCCCTGGCCTGTCCTCAGCAAAAATCCTGTTAGGTGGCTTTAGCCAGAATCCCCCATACCCTAGATGTTTCATCTTAGTCATTGTCCATCCTGCTCCTTGGCTGTAAACCAAACCCCTTACCTGACCATGCTATATTCAGAGTTGAGCCCAGTCTCTATCGCCCACTGCAAAACCCTACGATGTTGACCCTACAACGATCGTGGTGGTCCTGAATGAAACCTTCCTTACTGTGCTTTAGCAAGCATCACTGAGTCATATTTTTCTTGAACACTCTCCCTCTCTCCCCTGCAGCCCGATGGCTCCAGCAAAGAGTGTGTGTTCATTGAGAAGGTTCTGGAGAACAACTACACGGCCCTGATGTCGGCTAAGTACTGTGGCTGGTACGTGGGCTTCACCAAGAAGGGGCGGCCGAGGAAGGGCCCCAAGACCCGGGAGAATCAGCAGGACGTGCACTTCATGAAGCGCTACCCCAAGGGGCAGCCGGAGCTTCAGAAGCCCTTCAAGTACACGACGGTGACCAAGAGGTCCCGTCGGATCCGGCCCACACACCCCGCCTAGGCCATCCCGCCGCGGCCCCTCAGGTCGCCCTGGCCACACTCACACTCCCAGAGAACTGCATCAGAGGAATATTTTTACATGAAAAATAAGGAAGAAGCTCTATTTTTGTATATTGTGTTTAAAAGAAGACAAAAACTGAACCAAAACTCTTAGGGGGAGGGGTGATAAGGATTTTATTATTGACTTGAAACCCCTGATGACAAAAGACTCATGCAAAGGGACTGTAGTCAACCCACAGGTGCTTGTCTCTCTCTAGGAACAGACAACTCTAAACTCGTCCCCAGAGGAGGACTTGAATGAGGAAACCGACACTTCGAGAAACCAAAGTCTTTTCCCAAAGGTTCTGAAAGGAGAAAAAAAGAGAAAGTAGTACTCTGCCCACCAACAAACTCCCCCTGACTTTCCCAATCCTCTATCCCTATCCCAAACTCCAACAAAAATCGCTCTCTGGTTTGCAGTCATTTATTTATTGTCCACTGCAAGCTGCCCCGAGACACCGCGCAGGGAAGGCGTGCCCCTGGGAATTCTCCGCGCCTCGACCTCCCGACGACAGACGCCTCGTCCAATCATGGTGACCCTGCCTTGCTCGCAGATCTGGAGGATGCTGCTATCGACCTTCCGTGACTCACGTGACCTAGTACACCAATGATAAGGGAATATTTTAAAACCAGCTATATTATATATATATTATATATATATATAAGCTATTTATTTCACCTCTCTGTATATTGCAGTTTCATGAACCAAGTATTACTGCCTCAACAAGTAAAAACAACAGACAAATTATTTAAAAAACCACAAGGCGAGTGGTGGCTGGTGGTAGGGTGGGGGCAGGGTGGCCTCTGTGTCTCCTGCTTTCTGGTTGGTCTGTGGCCTTTGCACTGAGAGCTGGGGTCTTGCACATTCATTCATTCATTCATGGAAAGATTCATTTGACATTCACTATGCACTATGCACCAGGCACTGATAAAGCAGCCTTAGAACAGATGGAAATCCTTGCTTGCAGGGAGATTCCATTCTAATGGGTCATTGATTCAGTGACTGCTTCAGTCATTTGTTCATATGCGTTTACTCATACTTCTCCTATGTCAAGGCTCAATTCTAGGCCCTGGGGATTTATCAAAGAACATGGAAAAAATTCTGGCCCTCGGGGAAGTTCACTTCTAGGAATTCATTGATTCATTTCTTTATTCATTGATTTACTAATGGATTCGTCTGTTCAATATATATTTCTTAGGCACTTACTAAGTGTCAGGCAGTCTTCTGAGTACTAGAAATTAAGAATAAAACAGACAAGAAACCATGCCTCTTGGAGCTTGCAGTCTAGGGGTTACTTGACTGAGTCACTTGTGTCATCCACATCAGTGTTTTGCCAGGCACAGGTTGAACACAGAAATATGGTGGGAGTCTTCAGGGCCTATTTCCCAGGGCCTGACCCAGGATGTCAGGGAGAGGTCAGGTTCGTCTCGGGGTTAAGGCAGATTGAAGGTTAGTGAGTTCTCTGTTCTGAGATTTGGGCTGTGTGAGCAGTCAGGCTTGGGTGGGGGCTGTTTCTGTTTTTCTCCCTCCCCATGGTCTCCAACCTAGTGTCTTCATGGAACAAGCCATATATTCCTGGTGGGGCAGGGGTTGGCCTGAGGCAGAAGTTACCTCTGCTGCCGGGGTCCTGTGGCTGTCACCTGCTTCCCTTGAAAACTCCCCCTCCAGGGCTGGTCAGAATAAGTCCCCATGGGACCCTAAGGAGAGGTGGGGCAGAGGCAGTGGGGAGGGGTAGGAGTGCCTTCTCTGCAGGCTCCTGGCTCGGGTGGGTTTCCACTGCTTCTGAGCACAGCTCTTGGTCTTGACCTTGCTGTCTGCATTATGAACCCTTATCCCTTCACCCCTGGGCCCTATCCAGAATGTCTTTGGCTCACCCTCCTGCCCATCACAGCACATTTCCATAGAGTTTTGTGAAGCTCTTTAGCTGCATAATCTCATGGTGTTCTCAGGATACCATTATTATCCCCATTTTATGGATGAGGAGACTGAGGCTCATAACATTATGCCACTTCTCGAAGATCACAGAATAAGAAAGCCATCGGACCCGTGTCCAAATCTTAGCCTCTCCAGGTTGGCGATAGCTGCCACTTGGAGAGTGCCTATCATCATCAGAACCTCTGCTGAGGGCTTCGGTAGGTGCGCTGCCTGGGTATACATCAGACAACTCCCCTGTGTGGGAGGTGGGCACCCCTGCTTCCACATTGGACAGTATCAAGACTCCAAGAGAACATCAGCTTGCCCCAGGCCTCACATTGAGCAGATGACAGCCTGAGACTCTGGCTGATAATCACAGTGATTCAGGTTGTCATCGATGGAGAACCTGTTATATGTCAGCTGTGTTCACTCTTCCTGTATTATTTTATTTAATGGAAACAATAACCCTTAGAGATAGGTGTTTGCTAGAAAATTGTGGAGCCAGAATGCAATCAGCCATCTGTTCATTCATCCAAAAAATATTTATTGACTTTACTCTGTACCTGACACTCTCCCAGGGGCTGAAGATACAGCAGTGAACTGCAGGGAGCCCTGGCCCTCATGGGGCTTCCATTCTATTAGGGAAGATCAATAATAAAACAGATGCAAAATATAACGGCAAGGAGTGGCAAATCCTAAGAAAAAAATCAAACGTGGTGAGGGGATAGAGGATATTATTTTAGATGAGGTGGTCGGGGAGGCTTCTAGAGGAGGGTATTTTGAACAGGAAGGAAGCGAGGGAAGTGTTCCACAGAGAGTGCCACAGCCTGGAGGGTTGTCTCGGGATGAAGAGGGGCCAGAGGGGCTGGAGCAGAGTGGGTGGGGTTGGGGGGAGAATTGGAGAGGCAGACTACGACCTGAGCTTTCACTTGGAGTGAGATGGGGAGCCACATTTGATGTGCCTTACACCTAAAGGGATTGCTCTGGCTACTGTGTGGAGGAGGACTGGTGGCATCCAGCCTGGTGCCCATCACCAAAGCCCGGGCACTCACTCTGACCTGATGCTGCTCCTGCCGCTGGCTTTGATGCACCTCTGTCTGCAACACAGCCCAGGCCTCTGCCCTCCTGCACCCAAGACCTCGCCTTTGCTTCATCCCTGGGGGGCAGTGGGACCTTGTCCTGCCTCTAAGCGTCCCTGACATTGGAAGATGTGGGCCCAGCTTTTGTTTACCCTAGACAGAACTTTCTGGACATTTCCTGAGCTATGAGAAATACATTGATGATAAGCACAGCTGGCGAACGGGCACGTTTCCCAGCCACGGACACTGTGGCCTTAAGAACGCTTACTTGAGGTAGGAGGCTAGTGAGGGTGGCCATAGTCCAGCTGGGTAGGAACCCAGGGATAAATGTCTATGACTTTCAGAACACTGGGCCCACCCCACCAGCTTTTGAGGTGGGCATATTTAACCCCACTTTATACAGCAGACTCAGAGAGTCACTTCCTTGAAGTCACACAGGCAATAAATAGAGGAGCTGGGGCTTGAACCCAGGCCCGTCTGTCTCTAGAGCTGTAACTTGACCCGAATCCAGACTCTCGGAGCTTTCGGCATCTGTCCAGGGTTCCAGTCTTTCTCCCTTGGTGTCCATCATTTCCCAACCTGCCAGAGGGCGGAGGCAGGCATAGACCACATTTCCAAGTGCTGATGGTGGCCCTTCTCCACCCTCCACACCCTCCCCAGGACGTTCCTGTCATAGAGACCACAGAGACATGAGTCCTGGAGTGCTTCAGTTTGCTTTTGATGCCGCTACTTTCCAGCTGTGTGACCTTGGGCAAGGCACCTCTTTTCTGTGAGTGGTGTCTCTCTTCATCCCAGTTGATTCTACCTTGTGGGGCTAATGTAATGCTCCAGAGAGAGCAGGGAAAACACCTGGGGATGATTCCTGCCCCAGAAGAGAGAACCCAGGCAGGGGGCTTCATCCTCTCGGGCTTCTCTCTCCAGCTCATTGTTTTAGAGAGGAGGGAGCCGAGACCAGAGAGGAAGCGACTTCCTCCAGGTCCCCCAGTGAGTTAATGACAGAGCCCATTAGATGATCAATTCATAGGAATGATAGTGGGTGAGGTGAGTCAGGGGCCCCTTCAGTGGCTAGCCAGGCCCTTTTTCTCATCCTTCCCAAATTTGCAGCAGACGGCAGTGGGGAGGAGGTCCTCACCAACCAACCCCCCCAGCCCTATCAAGTGCAGGAGGTGAGTGAAAATTGACCCTTGCCCTAGCATTTCAAGAGACAGGCAGGCAAGAATGGTGGGAAGGGCCCCCTGAATCTGGGACAGAAGTGGATTTGGAGACAAGGGTGTTCTCCCCACCTCCCCCACCCTGTGTGTTGTTTGGATCCAGAGTCTTCTCCTCCTATGGCCACCCCTTGCCCTCCTGCTCTATACCCACCTTGATGTCCACACATCCAACTTCTAGTGTATGGTTCCTGGAGCAGAGTAAGCTCTTGCTCTCTCTCTTTTTTTTTCTTTTGAGATGGAGTCTCACTTTGTCACCAGGCTGGAGTGCAGTGGCGAGATTTCGGCTGCAACCTCCACCTCCAGGGTTCAGGTGGTTCTCCTGCCTCAGCCTCCTGAGTAGCTGGAACTACAGGCGCGTGCCACCATGCCCAGCTAATTTTTGTATTTTTAGTAGAGCCCATGTTGGCCAGGATGGTCTTTATCTCTTGACCTCGTGATCCACCCTCCTCGGCCTCACAAAGTGCTGGGATTACAGGTGTGAGCCACCGCACTTGGCCAGCTCTTGCTCTCTTAGCTGTTACTCTGATCTCATTTGATTGGCACAAGAACCTGGCAAGATAGATGTTAGGACGTATATTTTGTAGGTGAGAAAACTGAGATCTGTAGAAGAATGTCATTGACCCAGATTCCATGGTAGAAAGTAACCAAACTGAGATTTGAACCCAGGCCTCCCTGTTCCCACTTTTCCTTTTCCCAGCATTCCTCCCCATCTCTGCTTTTGCTGGGGGTGGAGTGGGGAATAAAGTTCCAAAGCTGAGGGCCAGAGAAGCAAGTGGCCCTACCAGGGTGGGTGGGGAGGGCCTTCCCCAGGACAAGTGGGAGAGGCTGTGTTTTGGGAGTGTATCACCAGTACCAGCCAGGTGAGCCGCAGGTGTGGGGAGGCACAGCCCCAGGCTGCCTGCAGGACGGTGAGGGGATGCCCTCCTGCCTGCCTGCCCAGCTGGAGCCTAACAAGGCCAGGCTGGGATGGCCTGGGGCTTGAAAGCCCCGTAAATGGGGCAGAACCCTCCCTCCCCAGCAGCAGGATTGGGGCTTCCAAAGAACAATAGTGAATTAGGTGCTAAAGATGTGAAGGCTGCTTCCCAAACATGCAATTAGCTTGCAGGTCTGTTACAAACATTAGGCAGCAGAATTGGGGACCAGATGGCGGCAAGGCTTACCCTTGCTGTCCCAAGACAGCCTGGCTTCCTGGCTGAGGTTTCCAGCTCTGGCAAGGAGGGGAGGCGGCAGGTAGACCTGGTGTATGACCCCCTGCAGAGCAAACAGCCATTAATCAGGCATTCCGTCCCCTCCCTTGGGTAGCTTCACGACCCAATTAGCACTTGCTAGAATTTCTGCCCTGCTCTTCCAGTCTCCCAGGCTGACTGCCCTGCAGCTGCAGGCCCCATGTCACCCACCCTCTGGGGTAGGTTGGAGGTACAGCCGATTTAAAAAGACTGTCACAGACCTCTGTCTCCTTTCAGTACCAGCTTGGTGGGAGCCTTCCCCAACTCTTTCACTTAATTCCCACCAATCCTCCTGGAGACTTTTTAGTCTGCTTCCTACCAATGAGGAA